CCTTCCCCTCAGCGTACCAGGATCTAGCTGGCTGCTGCTGCAACGCCCACCGTGCTGGCATAACCACTGCCGCACTCTACACCCGACCACACCCTGTAACAAAGCCCTCAGCCCCACCCACCCTCAGGTGCCCCCCGGTCCCCACAGCGTACCAGGACCTTGCTGGCTGCTGCTGCCGCGCCCACCGTGCTTGCTTGCACAAGCACAGCCTATCCCCTCACACACCACACACCCCACACACAGTCTCTTTATAGCCCTCAACCCTCCACCACAGCTTACCAAGACCTTGCTGGCAGCTGCTGCCGCGCCCACCGTGCTTGCCGCCCGGAGAAAGGAGACTGGGGGGCACGGATGGCGGCAGAGGGAAATCGGAAGTGGGGAAGAGGAAGGGGCGAGGGGGTGGTGGGGTTGAGGGGTGGGGTTCCGGGTTAGCGTGAGGGGACCCAGGCCGTGGGAAGAAGGGAAGGGAGCGAAAGGAGGAACGGGAAAGGGGGTAAGGGGGAAGGGGGAAGGGGGAGGGACGAAAGGGGAAGGGGTAACGGGGAGCGGGAAAGGGGAAAGAGGAGGGAGGGGGAGGGGGAGGGGGGAGGGGGGAGGGGGTGGAAGGGGAGGAGGGAGGGGAGAAGGGGATGATGGAGGGGAGAAGGGGAGGAGGCGTTGCGCTCACCCACCGTCTACATCTCCCATTTCAACTTCTCCCTTTTCTGAGGCGCCTCAAAAATAGACTCACCGTCGTCTCGCCCCCCGACAGCCTCTCTCTCCCCACCGTCTTTTTCTCCCCTTTCCACGTCTCCCTTTTCGACGTCTGCCCACTCGCCTCTCCCCGCACTTCCCGCCGCGACTCGCGCCACCAAGCGCGTTTCCCGCCCTCGAGCCCCGCCTGTGAGCAAACCCTCTCCCCGCACGCCTCTCCGCTCATTCTCCGCCTCCGCCGCTCCCCCATGCCTAGCGCCGCTTCCCCGCGCCAGGGCCAACCACCGTCCGCCACGTGTCAGACCTACATTAGCTACTCTACCCCACAAAAATCTGCCGAAACCGCTACCTATACCGCTGGCGCTACCGCTGCTGCTGCTGCGAGAGGAAAGGGGAAGAGAGAAGGGAGGATCACTGCTACCTACACGGCTGACGCTACCGCTGCTGCTGCGAGAGGAAGGGGGGAGAGAGAAGGGAGGATCGGTCGTGGAAAATAAGGAGCTGGGGGTGGAGAGACCAAGGGCAGCGGACGACATTGCGCACCGAGCAGGGCGTCGGGGCGCGTGAGACCGGCAAATGTAAAAGGCGCTGTAGTATATTGCCACAATTATGGATGAATTATTGTGTGTGTGCCAGTTATACGTGCTCTCATAGCTCAGCTGGTTAGAGCGTGTGGCTGTTAACCACAAGGTCGGTGGTTCAAGTCCACCTGGGAGCGCGTTTTGTTTGGTTGGGCTCTGTCCCGTTATGCGACATTTTTATGAATCTGTACCATTTCAGACCACCGTATGGCACTCCCAACACACGCTGTACTTCCTAGAGACATGTCCAAGCCAATCAAGACCTCACATGCTTTACTTCCTCCCCAACACACGCTTTCCCACATTCCGCAAGTGAGTTTCGGTGTTTTCCCCTTAAAGCTGCGGTCTACATACTTGGAGCGGGGAGGGAAAGTTTATCACTTGAAAACAGGGTAACTTTGTCCCTGCAAGAACCCCCTGCGGAGAAACAAACAATCGAGGCGGGAGGAGGGGGGGGGGTTGGGGGTTCATTTTAGAACTTGACCCACTCTGTTTCAGTTTCTATACCAAAACTCGGGCGATCATGAGAGCCAGACTTCACTCGACAGCCGGCTTCCAACACATAGTGACTATAATTTATAGATCATAGTTGCCAATAAAAACCAGCGACTCAGAGCCCTGCCACTTCGTTCTAGCGACACTGTCCGTTCTGCTTCGTCGTTAGGAACCCGCATTCAGCGTCGCCGCGTGCTGCCGCGCTTAGGGTTGGCGCTTTCGTCAAGTCGCCGATCATCTCGATTTCGCCGAGCTCGTGGCCGCGTTGCAATAAGGCGGTGAGCTCGTAGTTTCGCGCTCGAATTCCGCCTCTTTCCGCTCCCCGCCTAAGGCGTCTGGACGACAATCATCCGTTCGCTCAGAGGGGCATTCACCTCTCGCCGTCAGCTCAGGTCCCCGCTTTCAACTCCAAGTTGAAAAATCCCGCTTTCCGCTCGCCGCTTTCAGTTCATCGCGGAGTTATCCCACTTTTCGCGAACCGCTTTCAGCTTAGAGCATTCATATCCCGCTTTCCGCTCGCCGCTTTCAGCCCCGTTCAATCGTCACGACTCGCGATCCTGCAGCCCTGTGAAAACACCCAGGTGACGCGCTCTCGTTTTTTACTCGCACTACCATCATTCACGTATTGACTTTCGCGACTGGCGTTACATCCTTCGTTCCCACCCAGTTCCCTTCCCGCGTTCTACCCTCCCACCCCTCGCGTTGCATCCCCGCTTCCCCTTGCGTTGCATCCCCGCTTCCCCTCACGCTGCATCCCCGTCGTTCCTCGCGCTGCATCCCCGTCGTTCCTCGCGCTGCTTCCCTGCTTCTCCTCGCGCTGCATCCCCGCTTCCCCTCGCGCTTCTTCCTTGCTTCCCCTCGCACTGCATTCCCGCTTCCCCTCGCGCTGCTTCCCTGCTTCTCCTCGCGCTGCATCCCCGCTTCCCCTCGCGCTGCATCCTTGCTTCTCCTCGCGCTGCATCCCCGCTTCCCCTCGCGCTGCATCCCCGCTTCCCCTCGCGCTGCTTCCCTGCTTCCCCTCACGCTGCTTCCCTGCTTCCCCTCGCGCTGCATCCCCACTTCCCATCGCGCTCCTTCCGCTTCCCCTCGCGCTGCATCCCCTCTTCCCCTCGCGCTGCTTCCCTGCTTCCCCTCGCGCTGGTTTTCCACATTCCCTACTGGCAGCTTTCCCCTTTTCCTACGCCCTGCCTTCCCCCGTCCTATACGCACCTTTCCCCTTTCCATACCCGATGGTTCCCCCTTTGCCGTCTCTCTGTTCCACTACGCTCATTCCTGCCATTGCAAATAACCACCAGCATCGAGGAAAGCGGGGGTGGTAGACAGAAACGTAGCGCCTTGGGGAGAGGGGATGAGGAGCGAAAAGGCTGGGGTGGGGGGATGAGAGGAGAGGGAATAAGCAGCGAGAAGGGGGCGAAGGAGGGGGAGGGGGGGGGAGGGGGGGGGGGGGGGGGAAGGGGGGAATAAGGCATTCTCCAGTGTCCACTTGTTCCTCTCTCACATCGCACCTCCGGCCCCAAAACAATGCGAATTCCCCGTCCTATCTCCAGCTTGCCCATTGTCTCCCCCCTGCTCACTCTTTCTTTTCCCCCCGCATACCTATTGTTTCCCGCCTGCTCACTCTTTCTTTTCCCCCCGCATGCCCATTGTTTCCCCCCTGCTCACTCTTTCTTTTCCCCCAGCTTACCCATTGTTTCCCCCCTGCTCACTCTTTCTTTTCCCCCTTCTTACCCATTATTTCCCCCCTGCTCACTCTTTCTTTTCCCCCTCCTTACCCATTGTTACCCCCCTGCTCACTTTTTCTTTTCCCCCTGCTTACCCATTGTTTCCACCCTGCTCACTCTTTGAGCGAGGTGGCGTGAATTACACGTTACGCTACACGCTGCTAGCAGGAATCGCGGCTATCAGCGTGGCTGCGTGAAACAAACACTACACAACGCGCTCCATGCGAGTTTCGCGGCAGTGGGCGCGGTGTCGTGCAGTATTCTGCTGTGCTGCCTGCAGCTAGTGGGATTCGCAGCTTAGTGCGGTATGGCGTATTGCACGTTTGGCGGTTATGCTCAACAGGGCATACGTTTTCTATTCCGCTTGGTTGTTTGTGTTATGCTCAACAAATACGGTTGTTTATACGGGCATTTCCGCGGATTACTTTCCCCAAGCAAACCAGCTCACGAATTTGTTTGTCATCGCCAGCGGTGTTTGAATTCCTCGCACAGGTGTTTGGGGAAGAAGCTCAATTCGCTCTCGAATCATCTTGCGCCAAAGGGTGTGCACTTAGATTGCCCCTAGAAAATCCCTTTTAGAATGTAGACCGCAGCTTTAACACGTGTGCTGATTTCAGGCTGGATTTCACCGGCTCAAAACGTAACAGGGAGCCCTTCGCCAACCACTTATGCTGCCTCGCCAACCCAATCCTGCTCGTCACTCCCCCGCCTGACTCGGATCTACGCGACTTCTGCTGCTCGCTACAATGTGAGTGACTCAACTTTACCTGGCTACCTGCCGGCTCTACCAGAGAAAACCTACGCTACGTCAATCACGTGGTCGCTTACTCACGTTTGGAAGTCAACTACTCACATCCCACGCTTATACGCACTCAAACGTGCTGGCACAACGACGGACTCCAGGGTTTGCCGAGGCCATTGCCAAAGCGCCCACCTGTTTCCCACCTGTTTTGTCTCGTCATCGCTCAGCCACGCGAGATATGACTGGAGTCGCTGTCAATCGCACGTCAGTATTTGTACCAAGGCCTGCGCGTTCGCGTCCCTTAAGAGGCTGGCCGTTGCAACCGTGTGCAGTCAGTGGCTATCACTATGGCCGTATAAACACCCACCCACCCCCTCGTCTATCTCACAGCCTTCCACAATGGCTTCCGGTCAGAAACCGGATTTGGTGATGAGCGACCTCTGAGCAAACCCTCCGTTCGGTGACGCTTTCCTTACAACGGATATCCCTGCCATCCTTTCCTGCGCTGCGGTCCCCTTGCTGGACTCCAGGGTTTGCCGAGGCCATTGCCAAAGCGCCCATATGTTTCCCACCTGTTTTGACTCGTCATCGCTCAGCCACGCGAGATATGACTGGCGTCGCTGTCAATCGCACGTCAGTATTTGTACCAAGGCCTGCGCGTTCGCGTCCCTTAAGAGGTTGGCCGTTGCAACCGTAGGCAGTCAGTGGCTATCACTATGGCCGTATAAACACCCACCCACCCCCTCGTCTATCTCACAGCCTTCCACAATGGCTTCTGGTCAGAAACCGGATCTGGTGATGAGCGACCTCCGAGCAAACCCTCCGTTCGGTGACGCTTTCCTTACAACGGATATCCCTGCCATCCTTTCCTTCGCTGCGGTCCCCTTGCTGGACAGGAATGCCCCGCCCTCCAAGAAGCTCTGCGGTGCTGGCCCCTTTGCCGCCAACCCCGCCGCTGATGTGAACCTTGAACAAGTGTCTTGTGAGACCAACCCTGCGCACTCTGGGGTGCCTGCTGGCCGTTTCATGCACCTCCGTCGCAACCGCGACTCAGTCGGAGAAACAGTGGTTTCAATGGACCGGGATCTCCTCACCCTCGTGACTGTCATCTTCCCAGAGTCCCTCGCTGATGACCATCGCTACAAAATAGTGGCAAGGGTGAACGCTACCCTTCGAAACAACCAGTTCACCTCCGGCAAGGTCCCTAACTTCGAATCGTTGGCTGGAGAAAATCTCCGTTTTCCCCGCAAGACCTATGCCGACCACGTGTTTCAGTGGCCGACGCGTGACGACGCCCGCTGCTTCCGCAAAGCTCTTCCCATCGCCTACCGCCTGCAGGACGGTTCATACATCGACATTAAGCCGTATGTTGACCCCGGACCTGAGTTTACCGCCGCGAAAGCCAACGGTGAAACTCATCTCCTCCTGCGCAACATCCCGATTGGTTATTCTCTGGATGCTGTCAAGAAAATGCTCCTCTCCCAGTGCAACAAGGCTGGTCGCAAGTGGCTGCGCGACGTTAAGTTGTTACACAAGATCCTTGATCCGTATGAGGAGGTGTATCACCCTCAGATGGCCGGACTGTTTGAACAGATCCCTGCTGTAATCTGGCTCCCGGGCATCCTGGAGCCCATGCTCTTGAACCTTTCCTGCCACTGCTGTGCGGTTTGCAACAGCAACCACCGCACCTCCGACCATTCCAGCTTTGCGGTGATGCGCAAGTCACGCATCAACAATCCTTTCCAAATATCTGTGGCTCAACTCCAATCCGTTAATGGTGAAGTGCCTTTATCCTCTCAACCTTGTATGATCTTCTTCCACACTTCCCCCGTTTTGGTTGGTCATCCTCTCGTCCTATTGGCTGTTCGGTTCCACCGTAAGCCACGGGCTGTCTTTATAAAGTTCAATCCACATGCACCACCTTCCTTGCATTCCTACCCATTCTCACACACATGGTAGCCCCTAGCTTCCCTCTCTCACTGGTTCCTTTGCTCCTCTGCTACCGTGCTCCCGTTGGACTGGACAACTCTCATGAAAAATCCTCGGACATGGCCCAGTGCCATCTGCCTTCAAAGCCGACCCCGAGCTACTCTACATAGGCATCGACATAGATTTCGAAGTTTGGACCTGCGTTGCCTGCAGCTACGTTTGTGGCTGGGCGCTGGACAGCGCTGTCCGCCACATGCAAGACTCATCCCACATTGCCAACATCAGTCTTTTCTCCAATGCCCCTACGCCTATCGACGAGTTGGGTGGCACCAAAGTCAAGGCGCTGCTGCAGCATGAGAGCATTGCTTTCTTCTTATCTAAGGAGTAGTAGGACAATGGCCATGCATGCCTAATCACAACGGCACCTTCGGCCTTGCCCCTTATGTGCCAGCTTCCCTTCATGCAGCCCTTGCAATGTTTCCATACCTCTTGTTTAAGGTCGTTGCCTACTATTCTTATTACCACCAACCTATATTCCTTCTCTGCTCCGTGGATGGGTGTGCATGAACACACCGGGGTACCACAACATTCTATGTTGAACCACATTAGAATTTTATGCCTGAATATCAATGGCCTGAACGCCACAGAAAAAATGGACAACTTAAGAGCTTGGCTGCATAAATTGCCGGATATCCTCATTTTGATTGATACACGTCTCACTAACAACTTCAAGAAGCTAGTTAATAAACTAAGACCCGTCGCATATGCTCAAGCACCACCTCGCGTGTCTTCGAACTGTGCATCACCTGGGGGTATCGCAGTTTTAACCTTCAACCGACGTATCTCTCTCACTGATCGCTATGCTTCGCACGATGGGCGCATGCTAAAAGTTTTTGTAAACTATCTACAAGATCAATTCCGGCTGATTGCCATCTATGCTCCCTCCTACTATATTGAGCGGCGCTTTTGGTGGGACGCCACAGTCACACCCACTCTCATGGATACCTCTCCCGGAGAAGGTACTTCAAGTCTGTCTCCTCATCCCAAGATCGCAACCGCCCCCTTCGGGCACACGAGCTAACCGAAATGGGACGTTTCAATGCTGTAATAGACACCCTCACGCTCACTGGCGCGTTTCGCGTCCTTCACCCGAACGAAACTGTGTTCTCTTTCCAATCTGTTATGCACGTGTCCACGGCCAGGATCTCAGCCCCTGCCTCTCGCCTTGATCGAATTTACGTATCCCAGTCCAGGGCTCTGCGCCTCTCGGCTGCTGAGTATCCCCAGGTCCCACACGTCCTCTCGGACTACTTTCGCAGCCCCTGCTGCTCCCTCTCATTCGTCAATCCTAACTACGCCCCGAGACCATGGCGTCTCCCCCTCTCTCTTGTCCGCGTACCGTTTACAACTAATCTGATCACTGTCTCAGCTAAGCAGCTCCGCGGCTCCGTCACTCTGGAATCTTGGGAATCGTGGAAAACTACGTTGTGCCACTCCTTGAAACTCTACTCAAGGGAAGAAAGTACACGAGTTTTTAAGACCATGGCTCATCTTCAGGACAAAATGTGCACACTTCAGCTCCATCTCTCACATCACCCGTCAGATACCTACTCGTCCATTCTTCTTGACCGTTTCTCGAAACAGTTTGATCAGTACGTCTGCCATCGTGCAACCGAAATTGCTCTGAAGGCTCAGCTCAAGGGTCATGGGCATCTCCTCCCTTCTAGCAGGGTTGAACAAAAGGATCAAAGACCCGCAAATTACCTCTCTCACTCTCTCCTCTGGTAATGCCACCTCAGAGCTGCAAGAAATAGTCAATCACAGCTCTGCTTTCTTTGCCCAACTCTACAGTGGCAATGCATCAGGCCTCCCTAACTCCGAATTTTGGACACATATCTACCCATCCACCCTCCCTGCCTCCTGCCTGTCAGGTCTTAGTAGTCCCACTTTAATCTCATAGGTTGAACGCGCCTGCACAATGCTATCTCGCAGTCGCTCACCCGGAAATGATGGCCTCCCTGGCGAGCTATACCGAGCCCACAAATGCCAACTCGCCCCCATCTTACTACAACTTTTCGACTCCATATGGAGTCAAGGCTCTCTTCCTACGTCTATGCTTCGTGGGCGCACAATATTAATTAAAAAAAAGGGACTCTTCACTCGTGGAGAACCTCCGGCCCATCACTCTCATGAACTCAGACTACAGGGTCCTCGCTATTTGTCTCGCTAAACGTCTACAGCGTGTCCTGAGCCGTCACATTCACCCAGCACAGTCAGCCTTCATCAAAGGTCGGCGAATAGGAGACACCATCAACGACATGCTAGACTTGATCGACTAGGCAACCACCCAGTCTCTCCCCCTCCTTGTTCTCACCGTTGACATCCGCAAGGCATACGATATAGTCGACCGATGATTTTATCCGCTCGGTCCAGCTCCTACGCTCACATACTCAAACGCAAATCTCAGTCAATAATTTATGTGGCCCTCTCTTCCCCGTGGTCTCTGGGGTGCGCCAGGGCTGCCCACTGGCCCCCTTGCTCTACATTTGTGTTATTGAGGTTTTACATCGTCACCTCTTAGCCTCATTGCCAGGCTTTTTGCTCTCACGTACACAAAGGCGACTAGCAGCCTGCTACGCAAACGACATCTCCATTTTTCTCAACTCCAACATGAAACTCCGACTTGCGAAAGAACGTCTGCACTCCTTCGCTCTAATCTCTGGCGAACACCCCGTGTCCCTCTTCCATACTGCCTGCACTGCTTTTTGCTACACCCTGATATCCTGAAGGTACTCCCGTCCTGTACCCCACTCCGTGCCCGGGCGGAACTTGTAAGCCTTTTGGGTTCTACATTGAAAATTGCTCCTCCACGTTTGGAACCCTGGGTCCTACTGGCCGAACCTTTAGCATTCAATCGCTTTATATGCAAGGTCGACGGTTCGTGCTTCGGTCGTAAACCCAACGAACGCTTCCTGCCTACAGAACAACTTTGCGTCGGACACCTGCTCGCTCCTACGACTCATGGCACCTGCCGTCTCACCTCTTCCGAATTCAAATTGAAATACCCACCGAAGAAATTCCCGAGTGGTCGGCGGATCTTCAATGACATCTTCAAGGCTATTCCTGAAGATTGGTGGAGCACAATAACCACGTTTTCTCCTCGTCCGGGATACTTGCAGTGTGACGACTGGGCTATTTTGGCCTCCCCGGCCCCTGATGTTCCTGCTATAGTTCTCGAGGTTTCTTCTCTCCTTTCGCATGATATGGTGTGCTTTCGTACATACCCAGTGCATGGCGTACGCAAAATCGGATCTACGTCTCTTGACCTGATTGTACTTCCCCAATTAGCCGTCATCCCTATCCCCATACGGGGCTGTTGGATCGCAGGGCCCTTTTGCTCTGGTGCAGGACTTAACATTCGTATCTCCCTTACCGAGGATGGCACCTCCTCGCTCGCCTCAATACGTTCCTCGCTTTACACAAAACGCCCCACCACTCACCTCGACGTTCTCTCCATCCCAGTCTCAGCCCTCCCTAGCCTCCTCCACCCGTTCCTCAAGCAACAACCTAGTCGTCAACGTGACCTCCTTTACCGTCTCTTCACTCGTTCGCTACCCTCTGGTGCTCGCTTCCAGTTTGCTCCTAACAAGGGAGTGTGCTGCCGGTGCCCGTCGGGCCCCACAGAATCACTCACACATATTTTCTCGGAATGTGGAAATGCCACGGTTATATTAGGGGCTCTCCAGCGGGTCGCTTTCGTGCATCTTGGGGTGCGCGTCTCTACCGAGCACGTGCTCTTCCCCCTAGCTACCCCTGCCATACAAGTTGCACCATGGAGCCAGCTAGTAGGAGCTGCAGCCAAAACTATATGGAACGAACGCTGCGCGTACAGATACGATCAGGAGTCCTTTGCTCCGCTACACTCACTCCACCAGGTGCTAACCTTATTCCTGACCGCATGTAAGGTATAATTTACGCTCCATCGGAGGTACTCTGCTAAACGTCAACGTAGCTCCCTCTCCCGGCTCAAGTTCGCATCAACCAAGCGCCTCCTGGAATTTGACACCTTCGGCTTCCCACGGCTGCATGACTCACTAAGGCGCACGTGGCTTCTTAACGATTGTTTTAGGCCCCCCTAAGTAATGTTTTAGTTATCTCACTTTGTAGGGTAGGAGGAAGTTGCTTTCTTCTATCAGCCTTTTAGGCTGAACAGTTAGCGATGTTATATCGCAGGTCTTCTCGACCTTAGACTTAGTTCTGTCCTTGTTCCCTGCATTGTTTTTGTGGGTTACGACCTGTTAATAAACCCTTAAAACCTCCCAAACACATGACAAGAGCGTCTTGCTCCCATTCAAAACGGAAGCACACGGATGGGTGTAAATAGATCATGAAAGGTTATGGAAGGGGATTCCATCTACCCTCCTGCGGATTGGGTCGTAAGAGCTTCACGGAAAGCTTTTGCACGCTTTACTATGGGATACATTGTGGTGCTTTATGGTGATGGATATTAGACCCCTAGATTGGACTGTGGGATACATTGTGGTGCTTTTTGGTGATGGATATTAGGCCCCTAGAATGGTTTTGAGGCATGCTGAAAAAACAGAGTTGTCTGCAATTTATGGTAACGCTGAGAATCGGCCCAAAACTGCAAAAACTGCATGATTACACTAGAAAATCACTGTCTTCCCCTGAAAAAATGCTGCAATCTGAGGGCCTAGGGTGGGTGCACCTCCAGCTGTGGCATGTGAGGCGACAAGAGGTTTGCTTGCGCCTGTTGCTTACGGATGGGTTTATGCACTTGCAGATGGGTCCATGCACTTGCAGATGGGTTCATGCATTTACAGATGGGTCCATGCACTTGCAGATGGGTCCATGCACTTGCAGCTGGGTTCATGCACTTGCAGATGGGTTCATGCACTTGCAGATGGGTCCTTGCACTTGCAGATGGGTTCATGCACTTGCAGATGGGTCCTTGCACTCTGCTTCAGGCATTTCGCTGCTCCATAGTTCCTGATGTGAAAGTGTTTTATTTCGCATAGCACCCACTCTCCCTCTTCTCTCCTCCCCAATCCCCCCACCCTCCCACACCTCCCCCCCCCCTGCCCACTCTTTCCCACCACTCGTTCACTCTTCCAGCCAGCAAGGTCCTCCTAGGTGTCGCCTAACACAGTCACTCCATACCATCCCAACCGGGGTCATTGTCCCCCGGATATTCTTCATAATTTCCGTGAAGTGAAGACTCAGGGTCGTTCATCCTCGAAATGACAGCAGAAACAAAATAGCCCATAATGATACAGTGTGCGACAAACAAAGCTGTGGTGGTATTTTATGTCAACCATACACAGTATAGGGGAGAGCAATATCGCCACTCCCAATTCCATCACAAAG